CCCCCATCATCAGCCAACACCCTGGCGCTCTATACATCCTTCTCCAACCATCTGTTTTTCCATCTCCGCGGCTCTGCGCTGGATTTCCTTGCTTGGAGCCCCGACTGTGGGACAGGCGTTGGTCCAGCTGGTAGTCAGCGGGACCAGGCTGCACGTTTTCAAACTGACGGCCATATGCATCCTCACCATAGGGTGAGGTGCACCGGTTCAATCAATCACACCTACTCTCCCAGTTTAGCCTCTCCATAGAGACTGTGGGGGGCTTGTGTATGGCAAATGAATCAATATTTTTAATTTGGGGTTAGAGTGAGATAATAAGACGCCTACAGCAGCACCAGCTCAGCTGTTTAGCAGGACACCTCGGCATTAAATGGAAACTGAATATAAGCTTAAATTGCCAATATATTGACTGTAAATTACTGGCTACTAGTTGCTTTCACAGCAAGTTACTATGATATTTTTACAGTAAATTATAGTAAAATTACATACTGTGACTTCAATGTCAGTTATGCCATCAAAATACTGCATTTAACTGTTTTTGGGTTTTTTTTTACAGTAAAACACACATTACTGTCTATAAGATAAGAGATTACATCATCCCTAAGGTCCTACAGAACATGTTTAAAAAGAATTTAATTTAATTAAGCTCTGATTTATACATTTCTACTGTATAATCTATACATTTTTGACATTGTGAATATTGCTTTTAAAAATCTAAATTTCGTTACTTTCACTTTATGTATAAATTTAAACTATGTACTAAGCTATATATGTACATTTATGTTATATGGAATACTTTAAGAAAATAAAATACCACATAAAGTTTGATTGTCTTCCAGTTGAGTCAATCTGTTGCTCTTAAATCAACGTAAAATGTTCCCTTGCAAATGACTTCAGATATAAATATTCACACTTCCAGTGCACGACTGATTCTTATTCCAGCCCATCAGTAATGCATGAAAACACAATTACTTCTTTCCTACACTCTCCACCTTTTTTTTCCCCCTCTCCAGCGCAGAGCCCAGTGCGCATGCTCAACCTCCCTGAAAACCACATGCGTCTCCCCGCTCAGCTCTCTCCAGTGCCAAGGCGGAGAGATGCGCACACTGAGGACACCGCAGCACAGAAATGCGCACAGCTCCGAGCCAGACCCGGCGATAGCTTCACCCCCCGACACCCCTGACCCATCTCCCAACACAATGGGTTAGAGGGAATATGGCAAACTTTGACACACTTTGCATGACATGGGAAATGCCCTGCGTTGTCTGGAGAGCCGGGCTGCCGAGCGGCTGAATTGAGAGCACAACAAACACAGAGACTTGACAGAGCAGAGCGACAGGGGGGGGACCTGATTCCAGTCATTTCTATCCCGGGTTCCTCTCCCCACTTTGGTTTTGAGAGATGATCACGGAGCTGGTGTGCACCGCCGTGGCTGTGGGTCTCTATCTGAACACGCTGGACGCAGATTTCTGCTACGATGACAGGTAGGTTTCGCCCACAGAGCGCAGCCGCTGCCAACAGCATCACCCTCCGCTCCTCCGCTTGTCATCTCCTCTCGTTACCTCCACACGGAAGCAGGAGGGAGGACGGGGGTCGTTGCGCCTGCCCGCATGTTTGCATGTGCTTTTGTCCGCATCCTGTAATAAATCACCGCTTTATTTCCAGCTGTAGTAAAAGGCACAAAGGCAAAGGGGAGGGAAGGAAAAGGAGTATACTGAAAGCTGAACGGTAGAACTGTAGCTGTTACCAACATATGCCTGCAGTGGTGCATTTCTAGAACTTTGACTTTATATTGCTTTATTGTTCTTAATTGTCCCTCATATTCATTGAGAGACTTCAGCAGAGATTTAGCAAAGATGAGAAAGACCCATTGTGGTTATTTTTTTGTTTTTTTCTAAATTGCCCAAAAACCACATGCTCCATGTCCACAGAAACTAACAGCAAAAGAGGTGAAGTTCAACACGTTGTGGGCTGAGGACAGCCTCGTCCCATCTCCTGCAGGGCACATGAAGCGGTTCAGATGCTCTTTATGTTGATGAAGCACTCGTGCCTGTTCTAACAATGCCCTGCACCCCTGGGGAATTAAATCTAATTTAAACCGGGAGTTTCATTTTGCAAACAGCTGAATAAACATGTCAACACTTTTAAAGCTGTGGAGGGGCAAGTCAGCTCTGGTGGAGAGGGATAAGGTGGACAAAACATGATTTTCATTTAAAAAACATCATAAAAAAACCTACTAACAATATCTGTTAGCGATATCCGTCAGTAAGAGTCATATAGACCTGTCGTTCCAAATCAGGGTCAGGACCCTCCAACCGGTGCCAAGAAAAATCTGAGGCGGTATAAAAGTCAAACATTTTAGGTTGCAGTTAACAATTATCTTCATCATTAGTTAATGTGTTGTGCTTTAACTTATTTTACCCATTGACGGATTAGTCTTCATCTATAAAATGTCAGAAAACTGTAAAATGTCCATCCTAGAGTCCATTGTGACCTCTTCTAATGTCCAGAGACATTCAGAGAAAAGCAGCAAATCTTGACATTTAGAGAACATTTGGCATTTAAATGCTTCGAATGAATCATCAACCATTAGAATAGTTGCAGATAATTTTTCTGTTGATTGAATAATCATTTAAGCCCCCAAAACATATATTTTTCTTGCAAAAAATAATGTTTATTCTCTGGTTTTTCTCTAAATTTTTGGCATTTTTCCTTTTCTTTATCCCAGTTTTCATCCCTCTCACACACAAGCACTATGAAGAAAAAAAACTACGCTGTTAATATTTTTTTAGGTGTGTGCCTGCCGTACATCTGTGCTTATAAGAATAATCGCCCCCTTTTGCGTAAATGTTCAGTAGTTGCAACACAGCTGGTCCCTTTATAAAAAAAAAGAGGAACTGGACAGATAGTTCTTCACTGAATCTGAAATACTGTATATGGGCATAAGAGGTTTTGGCTCCTGCAACAGTTCTGTCAAAACGGATATTAATTAGTCTTCCATTATCAAGTATTAAATCATAGGGTTAAAACCACTGATATGTAAGGTATGTGGTAGATTTCTCTGGGGATAAAAAAGAGCGAACAGACAGTGAACAGGTCGCCTCCCTTATTCCTGCACAGCTCAGTCAGTGGGTGCTGTCTGGTATGCATCTCCAGACACCCCTTAAAGGTCAAAGATCCCCCCACTTTACTTTTCAGCTCCATCAGTGACCCCTGTGTGTGTTATTTGTGAGCAAGACAGAGTGCGTGTGGAGGTGAAGGAGGAGGAGAAACGTAGAGCGATGGTAGAAATGAGGTGCATGTGCCTGCGTCTCCAGTTCCATCACACCTCACCAAGTGTCCCCTGTAAAAAAAAGCGCCCAGCGGTTATTCATCCGTCAGCCTCGTCTGTACATGTGACCGTGACATGGCGAGGGTTGTCAGAAAAGCCCTTTGGTGAAATATTACCTGCGGCGCCCCGCTTCAACCTACGCTCGCACTCCATCCCCTCAGTGAAAGTTCAGTGTCCACCAACGCTGTGTATCCATCAAAGTCACCATGGTAATTTGCACTCTGGGGGACACTCGCTGGCGTTTTGGTTCAGCGCCCTCAGATGGAGGAGGTTGAATACCAATCAGAGGTCTGACCTTCCCTGGTCATTCATCAAACGGTGTCCTCTCTTGGGGTCAGGAGTCGCGTTCTCCCGGTCTCTTCCCTCGGGGATTAGAAGAGAGTTATGAGCAAAAGGTTAAGGTGAGCGAAAGATTGAAGTGGAGGAGCGTTGCACTGATCATTCTGGTCTGGAGTCGTCTAAAAAAAGATTGTCTTTGGTGTGGTGTTTTGGTGTTTTTCTTATTTGTCTTTTTAAGCTGCCTCCTTGTGAGCTGAGATGATCTTATCTGACCTTTCACCCCATAATCAAACTCTTGTTGCACGTCACATGCTTTTCATAACACGGAAGACGACATGGCGAGGCGGATAATTCATCTATGTCCCTGCGCTTCAAGTTGTGGGGATGTTCTGGCGGTCTCTGCTTTTTCAATCATGTCAAGTGTTTTTCCTAGGCACTGCTCAGGGCCCAGCCAAGCTCTCTCTTGGCCAATGGTAATCCCAATGAAAATCCTCTGCATGTGAAATGACTAAGTTTTACAGGAGCCGGGAGAGGTCTTGAGCCAGGCCATCTTTGAAGACGTGATCTGCTGGTTTACGGTCAAGCTTTTCTCGGATTTTGCCAAATGTATTCACAGTGCTGATAAGGTGTTTGTACAGCGAGATTGTTTGCTTGAGAGTTGTGATCATAGATTGGAAAATATATTTACCCTCACCTCTGAACTCTCCCTTGAATACCCATCATCAAGGCTTTTTGACAGGTTAACAAATGAGGCTCCGTGTGATGCTGACATTTCAAAGAGGTTTTTAATAACACCTTTTGACAAATGGACCTAGTAACGGATGTCTTTACTAGGACGAATAGTACATTATTCAATAGACAGCAAGAGTGAAGCAAGGACAAGAGATAAATGAAGCGTCATCGTGAAATGAAATGAATCCTAAGTGGCTTTCAGCATTCAGAGTCATGAATCCCAAAACATCTGTGACCCCAATCACGTCACAGTCCCCCTGCGCAACTGCATTATGGTCCCTCGGGGGACTGAAGTGAAAACATCTTCCCTCTTTGTATGTTTATGTATCAGAAGAGCAAAGCAATTCAATCTTAGTGAGGGGCTGGGTTTGGTGGAGTCTGGATTTCACCGACTGGCATATTCCCTTTATAAATCCAGTTTCATTCTCTGTTTGAAATATCCTCACCCTTAAACTAACTAAATGTTCATACCAAAACATGGGTTTAAGCAATTAAATATGCCACACAAATAACACAGAGGTGACACAAGAGAAGTGACTCAAGAGAAGATAGAAGATCACAGAGTCTTTTGGTCGCAACATCTGTTACTTTTCTAGCTCGGTTTCTGAGGTTGACCGATAAATGCAGCAATATGGGATTGTCTTTAAGAAGTGCCCTTTCATCATAGTTCAAACCATAGTGCTTTGAGTTGAAGCGCTAATGAACTGCCTTTATGTGTATGGATTATGCACATTTTATTTAAGCCCCTGGATCCTCTGTACATTTGAACAATGTATCTATTGTTAGATATAGTTTTCTTGCTTCCTTCTATTTAACTTTCATGTAACTGACAGTTCTCACATGTATGAATCTGTGTGTAGCAAGTATGTGAAAGTATGCTCAGTTAATAAGGAGCATTGTTGTGTGTCAGGAATGTTCCTGTGCTTGAATCAACTGAGATAAGAGTAGCAGTAAATTAAATCAGTTTCACGCAGGAGGCCAGTTTTCATTACAGTCTTTCTGGTTGTTTCTCTGCTACTGGCTACTAACTTAGATTTATTGTACCATGACCAGTGTTTGACAGGTTACACGATAAATCAAATCAATCTGTTATTACTTATAACTCCTTAAAGTAGTTGCATCACTTACTCAACATAAAAAGAAATTGTTACAGTATTTTGTTACTCAGTCAAGCAACATCGAAGGTGCCCTTCAACAACTCCAAAGCCACAACACCAACATGTCGTATTTTTTGTATTTTAAGCTGCTCTAATAAATAGTTTTATGTTCTATTACATTTTACCTGACTTGGTAGTCCCCCTTAGCCCCGTGGAGCGTCTTTCAGCTCACTGCATAGGTTTAATGTCCCGCAGCTTTCAGTCTCACCTCTTTAAATAGAAGTTAAGGCCTGGTTTGTAGCATTTAGCTGCAACAGATACTTTTATCCGGAGTTGGTGAAGACTAGACAAGAAATAAAAGGGGAGTGAAAATTATAGACTTCAATTAGTGGCTAGAAATACAACTTCTAGTTGATATAATTTTATAAGGTGATAATATCAATGTAGTGTTTACAGCTTATTGCGCTGCCCCCAAGTGGCCAAAAAACCCTCCCACAATTAAAGACAATGAGTAGGATTGGTGAATATTGGCTTACCAGTAGTAAGATATCAAGCCAAGAAACCACAAAAAACACGTAAATAAGACAGCTATCCTGAGTTGCCCTTAGCCCTCCATCAAACTTATGCGTCAGACAGGAAACAGGCTTACCCCTTAAGATGCTGTAGTAATGGAGCATTTCTGGAATTATTAACTAACTTCTGAACTCACATTACTATAACAAGGCAGTAATGTGTTAGCCCTACTCTGGTGTAGATAGGGTTTGACTCATACATTTGTTGGCTCAACAAACTAGTTAAATTTGATGCATTGATTGTGTTCCATGAAAAAGAGCCATGTCATCTCTGAATCATCTCTGTATTTGATATTTGATAATTGTTATCTCTTATGGCTTGACACTCCCAAGGCTCACTGTAATCAGTTTCAGGATACTGTAGTACATGTTGCCAGGAATATCTGTGCCTCTAGTGGAATAATTATTTAAAACATGTGCCCTAGTTGTGTGAAGGCTGTTTAAGTAACAATGTGTGCTTGGAGCAGATAAAT